CTTGAATTCTGCTGCTGTCTCCAGCAACATACAGTGCTCTGGGCTGGGCCTGTTTCAGGGATGATGTTTACTGAGGGAGAAGGTGTACCTGCTCCTTCTGGTCTACCTGATCTCCCTAGTGTCCTATCGTGCCGATATGATTCCTACCCTGCTGTGCAACCTTCTCTACCCTCCCCGACTCCTCCCACAGTTCGCCAGGGCTCTCTAGACATCATGGCACTCCTGGGGATGACATGCAGGTGAGTCACTGGTGTGTTGCCACTAATCACAGGTAGTTGCTTAGTTGAGTCCGGTGTAGAGCTGCCCACAAGGCTGTGTTTAAACACTTTGGGATGATGTTCCTGGTGCCCACAGCAGAACAGTAAACTGAGGAGGCCCATCAAAAGCATAGGACATTGTCAGGTACCCAGCCCCTATAGTGAAGCTGGCCCTGCTGCTTATACAGCACATACCAGGAGCAGTGTGTGGTCTGAACGCTGCCCTCTTTCTGAGATGAGGTCTATGCCGTAGGCTGATGAGCCTCTCAGACTCTTTTGTCACTAGTAGACACCACAAACCTGGTAGCAGGGAGGAAGGATTCTCCCACGGGCTTGTCTCCCAGTAGGGTCAGCAACCATGTTCTCCCTAATTTATGAGCCAGGAGGGCTCACTCTGGGTGTCCCACCCCTGCCAAGCCCCTCCCAGTCCATGTGCATTTAGCCTTCTTAGAACCCTTTGGGGGCAGGGGAGCTCCTCTTGTTCATCAAGTAATGGGGAAAATGTCACTGTTCACGTCCACTCAGGACCCTGTAGCTGCCAGAGATTGACAAATGCAATCTCTGTGTGGCACTTATGATTTAGTTCTCCTGCAGGCTAGTGGGGAAACATCTCTTTCTGTATCCTGTCTATTCTCGTTTTACTGGGAATACTTTTCATTGTCTTTCCCCAAACCTAGGATTTCTCCTCATTGTCTGAAAACAGAAAATAACTATCAGTGGAGTGCACTACTCCAATAAAAATTTCAGTAGGACTTCTGAGGAGTAGTACATGGCTTTCCTACTTCATTCCTCCCCATCATTTGCCTTAAGCCGCATGTTCGCATCTTATAACTTGGAGGAGAAGAAGAAGAAGAAGAAGAAGAAGAAGAAGAAGAAGAAGAAGAAGAAGAAGAAGAAGAAGAAGAAGAAGAAGAAGAAGAAGAAGAAGAAGAAGAAGAAGAAGAGAGAAGAGGAAGAGGAGGAGGAAGAGGAGGAGGAGGAGGAGGAGGAGGAGGGGAGAGGGAAGGGGAGTGGGAGGGGAGAAGGAAGGAAGGAAGGAAAAGAAAGAAATAACTAAACAAAAAAGTTTCTTCTCCTTTACCCCCAGTGTCCAGGAGGCTCTCTCCTGTAACACACCTCTGAGATGACATCCAGAAGGTCCCCATAGACTTGGCTCTCATATAGCACCTCTGCCTAGCCACTGGGTTTCTCTGCTCCTGATTCTTTTCCCTGCTGCTCCTATTCCTAAAGCCTTAGGGAGGAAGGTATGAAGTGAGCTTCCTAACTGGCTGGACCCACCACTGTCTTTCCTCATCAGAACCAATTTAAAGCCCACTTTTTGCCACGTAGATTTCTTCAGGAAGCCCACCAATCACACTCGTTTACAGGTTCACCTTCACACACTCAGTCAAAATTAAGACCAGTAATCAGAAACCAACATCAGTGGAGACCCAGGTCTCACCGCCAATCGTTGCCATTTAGAAGGGACCCCTTAACACACTCGGAAACCATATCCTGGCTTGTGTCGCTTGACTCGAACACAAAGTCACCCAACAGTGAAGCCCACACTCACAGAGATTTCTGCTGCTCTCAGCGTCCTCCCTATCGACCTGGTAGAAGGGGGGTAGCACGGGATGCCCATGTGTGTGTGGGGGGACACAGTAGGGGACACACACACAGCTTCACCCATATGCCCAAGCTTAGAGGACTGTGTCTAAAGCACAGCATGGGCTGCAGCTCCATTAGCAGAATGCCTGGCTAGCATGCAGGAGGCTTTGGGCTGGGTTCTCGGGAACCACATAAACCAGGTGAGACAGCTCATGTCCGTCATTTTAGAACCCAGGAGGTGAGGGCGGGCAGGAGGATGGGGAGTTCAAGGCGATCCTTCATTACATAACAAGTTCAAGGTCATCGTTAGGCTAACCCAGACCCTGTCTCAAAAAATTTTTTTTCTTTAAAGGAATAATAAATAAATAAGCATAAAAGCACCTTGTTCTTTCTCAGTCGACTCGTGTCTGAGCTCAGCACTTAGTCTGACAAGCAGAAATTGTGGACGTTGACGTTTGTTGTTTTGAAAGAGAGCCATCGACATCTCCCACTGTCGTGGACTCCTCTGGCTGTAGAAGGTGATGTCTGCTGTCTGCCCATCACTGTGCAAGAAAGGCAGACACCAACCTCCCCACACGCCATGCGATACCTGGTGAGAATCCACAGCTTGGGGCCTAATTACCTTTGGGAAGCAAGCTAAGCTATATCCAGGGCGAGGTGAGGATCATTTTCTGCTGCCTCAGAAAGTCATAATTAATTTTGAAGCAATTTAAAAACGGTGCTAAAACATTGCTTGAGAGGGATAGATTGAAGGTGGCTTGAGGGTTTGCATTTGAGCCAAGGGCTATAATTACACCTGTAATTGCTGTAGGCTGCCAAGTAGAGAGGACACACCCCTGCCCCTCTTCCTCCTATCACTGGGTGAAAAGAGCTCTGAGGACTAAAGAAGCAGTAAACTTCCAGGATCAGCTACCCTCCCCACTCCAGAGAAGGAAACTCACCCCTCAGGCCACATACAGCCTCCCCTACCCAGGCCCTACTGGGTTACTGCGGAGAGAGAGAAAAATAAATTTCTCCTCCTCACAAAGAAGAGCCTCTTTCTTGTAGTTAATTTAAGGCTTTCCTGATTTCTCTCCTAATAAGGGTAATAATTTCCAAATAACGAGAGCTATTAAGTGGCCGTGAGCAGCACTCTCCCAAACATACATCTTGGGACTGCAGAGCCGCTGGCCACCCCAGGGCTTGCTGAGGGATGGTGAGGCGGTGTCTCCACTGCGAGGAGTCATAGCCCTTTCCTCCTTATGCCAGAAATGTGCAGTAGCTGCCTTGGCCCTCACAGAGACTCCTTCTCCGTGCTGAATGCTTGCTCCCTGAGTAACTTCTTCGGACTGTCAGACAGGGCCAAACGATGATACCTGTCATGCTCTCCGGAGTGATGGCCATGGGTTCTCACCAAATCAACTACCAACCCAGTCTTTGAGACGAGAACAGTAGCCACCTAAAGTGTGAAATCCCACCGTGGAAGGAGCACATGGAAGCCTCACTGGGCAGTAATACATGCTACTCACAGGGGGAGAGCCAGAGTGCTTAGAAGCCGTGGGGTACTGTATTAATCATAAGTCTTGGGTTCCTCAAGGTAGGCAATGGGACCAGAGGACATAATGAAATTCTATAGGATATGATAAGGGCTAATCAAATCCAGCAAGTGTATCTTTTAAAAACCATGTTGTCCACTGATACAAAAATCTGACTTCAGCCTACATGCTGGAACAAATTAACAACCCCAGTTCCTGTGGAGGTAGAAACAGGAGGACCAGAAATTCAAGGCCATTCGCAACTGCACAGGGAGATGGAAGTCAGCAGGCTGTACATGAGCATTACCTCAAAAGAAAATCAGATTTTAGAGGCCAGATACTTGTGGGAGAGAACTCTTTAGGCCAGACAGCCTCTGGACCTGCTGAGAGGTCTCTAAGAACATAGCCTTCATGTGCAAAGTTCCCAGTCAGGATATCTATGCCAGATTTGCCCTGAACCTCATCCTCTGTGTCTCAGCCCTGACCCAGGAAGCAGGAAGCAGAAAGAGGAAGTGAGAAGAGGAAGCAGGAAGCTATTCACAGAGAGGAACATGATGCCCTGAAGATGTCACCCACAGGTTCCTGAACCTATGACAGGGAGTGGGAACCCCCTCTCTGTCAATACGGTCCAAACTATGAAGGGAGCACAGAGAATTACTACAAGAGGACTTGGCCTGACCAGAGGAGACCAGACCAGACCAGTCCTGCCTGGCACGGAGGGCACAACAGAATGGCAGTCAGAGCCTGCAGTCTCCGGCTGAACATGTATAGTCTACAGACACTTATAGTGCAAACAACCAGACAGAACAAAGCAGCAAGCGTCTTCCAAACGTGGTGCTTACGGCATCGAGTTCACCGGTGACATCAGTGTCTGCCGAGGCCCTTGTTCCTCATAGGCGGACGCTTGTGTGCCTCCTGAGGAAACCAAGCACCCGAGGAGCGTCTTCCAGCTAAAAAGCTCTGATTGGTTGTGAGTTTAAATCTACTCTCCGTGTAATCTCAAACAGCCCCTGCAGCTGAGCTCACTTGGGACACAGACGGGTTTGTGTTCATTCAAGCCCACTGTCGGCTTCAAACGCCAGCTCGATGAAGAGAGACATCAGGATGCCCGTCCCTCACAGAGTAACTGGAGGCCTTGCAGAGACGCCTCAGAGTTTTGTGGCGGTGGCTCACTTTAGAGACACCTTCTCTTTCTTCTCACACGTAATCTGGTCTTATACCAGCAGCCCTTTCCACATTGTCAAACCTGCGTTAGCTCTGAGATCCGCAAGTGCCTCTCACCTGTCTCTCTCTTTTTTTTTTTTTTTTTTTTTTTTTTTGGTTTTTCGAGACAGGGTTTCTCTGTAGCTTTGGAGGCTGTCCTGGAACTCACTTTGTAGACCAGGCTGGTCTCAAACTCACAGAGATCCGCCTGCCTCTGCCTCCCGAGTGCTGGGATTAAAGGCGTGTGCCACCAACGCCCAGCCTCTCACCTGTCTCTTACATGGGCCCCCACGTCTGCTGGCATTCAGACTCTCGGTGGAGCTACAAGACAAGTGTCCAGCAGGCCACGGGAAAACAGAAGTCCCAGCTTCCTCATCCCATGTTACATGTGTTCCTGAGTGGTCACAGAGCTGCCTGAACCCACGGATGCTGTACTCACCTTGCAGGGGCCGGTTCTTGTACAGGTCCCGGGCCTTCGCGGGGTGAGCCCTGGCTGTGTTGTCACACTTGGGCTGCTCATACCTAGGAGCCAGGGGACAAGAGAAAAAAGAGTGGGGATTAAAACCTGAGTTGGTGTCGTCTCCAGTTTCTCACATCTAACGCGCTACGTACAGCTTTAGCCCCAGAACGTTCCACGAGATCCATCCTAGCATCACAGTGGTTTAGCCCCTGGGTGATTTGAGCGAACGTCCCTAGATCAACGTACATGCACAGTCCACAGGACAAAGAGGCCTACAGCTCACCTCACATGGCCTGGCTTTGACCCAGTCCCAGTAGACTCTTGTCTACTGGTTCCTGAACACTCCACCTAACCCATCTTCTGATTTGTGACTTTATGAAAAGCAAGTGTCCTGCTCAGCAGTCTCCTGGAAGGTTTTCAAATGCACCGGAGCGAGGATTGTGAGGCCGCATGGGGCAAGGGTTCGGCCGCTTGACTGTCTTCAGAAAGGAGCCAGGATCAGAACTCAGGGCTCACAGTGATCTACCATTGAAAGACTGTCTAATTCTCAATACAGCCTGTGGAGCTACAAAAATTTGTTCGAATGTTTAAGAAGAAAATAGAAGGAAGGAGGGGGGAGAGAGAGGGGGGAGAGAGAGAGGGAAGGAGGGGGAGAAAGAAAGAAAAAAGGAAGGAAGGAAGGGAGAAAGGAAGGAAGGAAAGAAGGAAGGAAGGAAAGAGGGAGGGAGGGAGGGAGGGAGGGAGGGAGGGAAGAAGGTATTATAGGTTCTCTCTGCTCTTAGAATGGCTCAGAATGTCTGCCCATGCCTTCTGCTTGGAGCTGAAACGCATCTGAAGACAATGAGGAATGCCAATGGCTGCCTGGGCAGTCCTTAACCGCTATCCCTGAGTGACAATAAGTCTAGAGAGAATAAATGCCCTGGGTAGCAGATTTTCATTGCAGGTGCCAGGCAGTGCCTGGGGTGGGGGTGGGGTCAGGGGTAAGGTAGGTCTGTGACCTGTGACCTATAGAAAAGTGAGCACCAGCTCACCATAGTATAGAGGCCCCAAGCCAGCAGCCCCATCCTATGTGGGTCCACAGACCGTATTTACAGCACCAGAGAGCTGAGCTTCCTTTCCAGTGTCCCTGTCATTCACACAGCCTGAGAGCCAGGCCATTCGCCTTGCCATTCCAACTTGTTTGATCTTTGCTCCCGCTTGGGGCTCAGCTATCGTGAGGGGGCCTTAACAGTGGTACTGAAATTTGAGTTGCGTGTTGAAGTGACCGTGTTCTGCTCGTTTGAAAGGGCACCGGGAAAGAGCTTGCCGGTGTGGAAATGGCCATCTGGAGAGGGGCTCGTGGGTTTACCAAGGCGGACTTGGCTGCAACAACCTCAGTTCTTTTCAACAGCAACTTATTTCACACAAGGGAAAGACGGAGACCATTGCCTGGCTGTGTCTGCCCATCAGATACCAGGCCGCGGAGAAGTGCAATTTCACGACCACACGGCTGCGTGCACGCAGCCACTGTGCAGAGCGCTGGGGGGGGGGGGGTCACAAACGGAGGCTGTCTCAAGGCCAGACTGCAGCAGTACCAGTTGGGTGGACAAACCCTGAGCCAGTGCTCACAAAGGCGAGAGGGAAGCCTGTTCTGGCGCTAATGGAGCGGCTGGCTGCCAGCCTGCATGCGGAATCCAATAGCCCCCTCCAAACCCCTGCTGCCATTGGCCAGCAGCCAGGAAGAGACCTTGCCCTCCTCCAGCCCGAGTGCCACCGGGCCTGGCAGCAGAGCCTGACAGGCGTCCCCCCAACTCCAGGCAGAGTCACACAAAATATGGTCAGAGTGTCAGTCTGGGTCCCAAGGGGCAGGAGACCCTGCGAGAGCCACCACCCCAATGCCAGTCTGCTCTGGAGGGAAGGTCAGCTTTGCAAGGATGACGTCGGCGGCCCGGGGCCTGTGACTTTGACTCAAGCCCACAACAGAAGCACCTTATTCCTTTGTGGCTCACGAGGACAGAGAGGTGACTTATGAGCCGCAAAGCGTTTGACATCTGTAGCTCCCTGGTTTCTAAGGTCAAGGAGTCCTCATGGGGAAGTATGGAAGAAGAAGACAGGGAAAGTAAATGCTGAGTGAGCTCTATCTAGGGCAAGTCCAAACCAGGGCTTCCCAGGAGGCCTGCCCCACCCTTGTGACGGGGACGTCCTTCTGCATATGTGTTTCTCCTATTGGTTGATGAATAAAACACTGCTTGGCCAGTAGAAGCAGGAAGATAGGCAAGACTAGGAGGCAAGGAGAATTCTGGGAAAAGTAGGCAGAGGGAGACCTGGAGAGACACCATGTAGACCACAAAGGACTAACAGGTCCGGACCCTTCTCAGGGAAGACAAGACCACGTGGAAATACATAGATTAACAGGAATGGGTTAATAGTTAAGACAGAGCTAGCCAGTAAGAAGCCCTAGTCATTGGCCAACAGTTTTATAATTAATATAGCATCTGTGTGCTTATTTGGGGCTGAGGCAGCAGCGGGACCTGGCGGAACGAGAAACTCCAGCAACCCTCTTTGTCTTGCTCAGTGTTGTGCACAGGATGCCTGGTGATGTTCTCCCTTCTGGTCATGGTTCTGGGGTTCACCGTGTGGCCTGCACACCTTACTCCCTGCATCCTGCCCATCTCACTCCAGCATCATAATCTCAGGGGGCCTCACCCAGCTCCTCTGTTTCTCTGTGCCCCGAGCCCCTGTTCTTGCTCAGTGCCCTTCAGATTTGCCATCATCCAAAAACATTTCCTCACGTAGGCTTTAGCCACAGACCCATTCTGTCACCGACACCCTGCTGCCTCACTCTGGAAGCCCCGGTGTTTATCCTCCCCATTCACCAAGTCCCTATCTTCCACACGATGGCTGGGACACTGGGGGCATCCAAATCACCCGAGTGTTTACTGAAAGGAGAAATGAAGGGAGGGAAACCAGGACGTGTTCTCACCACCACTGACCAAGCGCAACAGCAGAGGCCAGCGCTGCCCATCAAGAGCCCGTTGTGGGATGTGTTAAGCCTGACTCTGCTCTCAGCTGTCCCTGTTGCAGCTGGACCCTCTGCACCCCACACGCTACCTCTGCCCCTCGGGCTCATCTTCCCCAGGCCATTGTACCCTCCCATGACTGGAAAGGCTGGCCAGGCAGGGACTAGGAAGGCTGTCCTGCCTCTTGCCCACCTCTAAACTAATCTCCACCTTGGTGTCACCTTCTGTGCACAGGACGGTTGGATGCTGCTGGTGGCGTCATCGCTTTTGCTCACTAGAACCTGACCTTGACCTGGTGCTCAGTGGGGGAAGCATGGTAAATGACTCCCTTCCTTGGCAGGGCTGGTGACAGCCTGGGGATGAGACCGCAATTGGGCAGGTCCCTCAGTTCAGTGGGAAAGGTTGCTCTCACTGTCAAGAAGATAAAACTCCCTTGGGGCTGGAGAAATGCTAATAAGATCACTAGCTGCTCTTGCAGAGGACACAGGTTCAGTTCCCAACATCCACATGGCATCCCATAACTACCTACAGCTCCAGCCCCAACAGATCTAACACCCTGTCCTGGCTTTTGTTTAGTGGATAGGAGAAAACTGCCTATAACTCCAGCCCCAACAGATCTAACACCCTGTCCTGGCTTTTGCTTAGTGGATGGAAGGAAGGATAGCTCAGAGGTAGGAAAACCATCTGAACAGCCCTTCCAGCTGAGGTTGTCCTGTTTGCCCGAAACTCAGGGAACATCTACACAGAGGCAAGAGAGTGCCTGACTTTCTACTCCGTCACAGCCTAAACTGCTCTTGGGTTCTCTGGGGACAGCATTGCCAATGCTGGTCTCATTGTTTCAGAGCCAGCTGGAGGAGTGTGCAAGACTGGTTTTGACTGTGCAAGGATTTTCGTTGGCCAGCTCTAAGAAAACATTTGTCAGGGAGGCCTCTACTCTAGGCTAGAAAGTGTGGGGTGGGGCCAAGGCTGCAGCTGGCAGGAGCCCACTGGTGCCCCATGCGAAATGTCCTTGTTAGAGCCACCCTTCTCTGCTTTGTGCTTGGTGGCCTTTGACTGCTAAAGATAACGCTTCCCTTCCCAGGGCTGCAGCCACACTTCCTAACCAGTGCAAGCACGGGGAACAGAGGACAGCGTCCCTGTGTGATTGTCACCCGCAGGCAAGTATGACACCGAGGTGAGCCCACAGCAGGGCGGCAGGAGGGGAGTGGCGTTCAGTTCTCCTGGCGGAACCCTTTACCTTGTGGAGGTCCCGGGAATGGGCCGCCCGGTGTCCACCAGCACACACCAGCAGTAACCAGTAGACGGGTGACACTGCACCGGCTTGTAGAGGCCTCCGTGTGCACACTCAGGGATCACTACGTTGTCATTCTTGGGCTGCTTGGCCTCCTCGAGAGCTGACTGGTGCTCCTGGTCACAGGAGGAAGCTGTAGGGAAAGGAACGCACAGGCGGTGAGCAGGCGTAGGGAGCCAGCCTTGGTAACGGGAGGGCGCACAGTCGCAGCTAAGCGACGCTGTGTGCTGTACCAGCACTGCAGTGGGAACCGGGCCTGAGGATAGGGAAGAGGACCCCTCCTACCTCCTCAGCCGCACTCCGTGAGGCTGGGGTGTTTCATGCAGCAGGACAAGGACATGTGATTCCTTTCAGGTGGCCATACTACATGCCCCTAAGCCCACAGACGCTCCCTGAGAAACACTCGTTATTGTTCCCAGGTTCCCTTGCAGGAAACACCTGCTTCCCTGCAGGGAGCATGGACTACTAGAGTGTGCAAGGTCATCTCTTCTCAGGCTACAGACTCAGTTTCTTCTTTGTCCTTAGCTAGCACTAGTTTACAACCAAGGGGCACCTGCCAAAAGACAGACAAATAAACGGGCGTGTGCGTGCACACACAACCACACACACACACACACACACACACACACACACACACACACCTGCTTTCCTAGTTGCAAGATATCGCCACACCCAACAGTACAAATGGGGCTTAAACCAGTAAGTGAAAAAGAACCAAAGACCTACAGTGGCCACATGCAGTCTTGCTGAGACAGAGGGCAGCAAGGAAAGGCTCCACTCAGGCTAAGCGCATCACACACATCAGGCTAAGCGCATCACACACAAGAGAAAATCTCTGCAACTTGGCAAGCGGGGCATGATGACTGTGTCTAGGCCTGCTCTGAAGGCACCGGCTACTGTCACAAGGCGTTCATGAACACGGTGATGTCAGAGGAAGATGGGAGGGAGCTGATGGGCGAGGGCTTCTGCCTCAGGGCTGCCCCAGCCACAGGTGGCAGGTGTGGTACAAAGGGCAGAGCCTAGCCCGGGTGATGCTCTTAAGACCAGAGATTGCAGGCACAAACTGGACCTCGGACTAGGTTTTGTAAACGCAAACTTTTCTCATTGTTGCAGGGCTGAAAGAATACTCATCACGTGCCCACTGGTGTCTCTAGATACACCAAACCGTGGACAGGCGCACAGATGTTAGCTCGCTCGGTGATTCTGAGGCCAATCCTGTACGTGCTCCCATGATCTGTTAACTGATTGACTACGTTACCAAACGCAGTTTCTAGATATCTAAAAGTCACAGCTCTGTGTACATTAACTGGAAGAGAGGCACCTTGCTGACAGCCCCCGCCCCATGCTGCTCTTGAAAAGGACAACAAAGGAAGCTAAACTGAGCATCTGTCCAGACAGACATCTCCAGGATAAGCTCAGCGTGTGGGGATCATTCAAGCTCACTAAGAACAAAAGGAACTGGGCCTTGGCTGATGTCTTGTTACTGCTTCCCATGAGGTCTTCACTCTCTGTATACGCTCTAGGTGCACCTAACAAATGCAGGGACACAAATGAAATGTCCCTGGGCCTGATGGGCATCTTGATGAAGCCTTTACCCGTCTACCACCAGGAAGCTGGCAGGAAACAAAAATCGACACTCACTGGCCTTTCTTCCCAAATCCCTTCAAGTCTGTGATAGCCATTCAAGGGGGCCAAGCACCACGGGGTTTGAGGCTACTATCTTCGAAGACGGTTGACACTCTCTGTGGAACCATTTGGGCCATCGTTGTGAGAGTAAATGGAATGGCCTATGGGAGCAGCAGCTGGGCTGTATGCATAGCTTGGCAACGCAGGCCTCTCCAGTTTAGCTAAGGTTTGCTTGGCACGTCTTCAAATTTTTCATTAGTTCTGTAGAATGTACAGTGTGATTATCTGGCCACAAAATATCTTTGGTGCTCCATTCCAAGGACATACTGTGTCTATGGGACCGGTAATGGAAAATTTTCTGAAATGTCCCTATGAGAAATTTATGTCATATTTGAAAGAGCCTCATAAGCAAAATGAAATTGATTGAATTAAAAAAAACTCTAAAATTTGTTGCACATATTGTAAAAATATCAAAGCTACTCTGGCCAAGTCAGATGAAACCCAGTTCGTAAGAACGTTAGGGTGGTGAAGATAACTGGAGCTGACACTTGACAATCTGCTTGCATATTGGAAATTCAAGGCTACCAAAAGATGCAATCACATTCTCTTGTAGGATAAGCGACCATGAAGGCAGAGAATGTTTTAATAAACGAGTAAGACCTTTATAAATAGAAGGCAAAGTAAGAAAGCAATTCGTAATGTGGTCATCTCCCCTCCTCGCTCCTCCCAGGCCCTGACCACTGCAGAGATCTGCACAGGCCACTCTTGGAGTTCCTGCTACACTGTAAAAATAAATGCAATGTTAAATGTAATGTTCATCACAGTTACCTTAATCCACAGTTAGTTAGACCTGGTAGGACTAATTCACTTCTATCTTTTTTATTTATCTCTAAGTTGGGTCTGAAGAAGAAATCAAGTAAACCTGATTATCAGAGTAAAAGCATTTTATTACTCAACTTTGAATTAATCCTTCTAAAAATTTGACTCAGTTAAAAAAAAAGAAGATGAGAAAATCATGGAGAAAACTGTGGAATATGAATCTGGATTCTGGATTTACCTGGTCATGAGACTTCAGCCTGCTAATGTAAAGGGTAGTCTCACGTGCATGCGCGTGCGTGCGTGCGTGTGTGCGTGTGTGTGTGTGTGTGTGTGTATGTGCACTGTGTATGCCCCCAAATCACAAACCAAAACCTTCACCTCTAAGATGATGGAACTAGGAAACAGGATCTTTGGGGGTGATTGGGTCACAGGGCAGAAGCTAGAGCCTCTTCCACCACGTGAAGACATTTCAAGAAGGTGTCACCTATAGACCAGAAATTAGGTCTCCGGAAACAAACGAGCCTGTATATTTGAAGTTAAACTACTACGAGGCTTCTGAAACTGTAGGAAATAGCCTTGGGTTATTTCTAAGTGACATCATCCATGAAGCGTTATTGCATCAGCCTGAGCTAGCAGCACTGCCTCAGAAAAGGGGTTGTCAGTGGAACCACACACGTCTTGGGGAAGAGGATTGACTACTCTCCTGCAAAACTGGAGAGAACACTGCAGGCAAAGCTCAATAACCCTTTCAGAGGTGGTCAGGGTACCGTACTCCCCCCACCTTCCCCAATGTCCTATCCGCTCCTCCCCCATCTCTACTCAGATGAGGTAAGGTCTCCCATGGGAAGCATGGCACATCAAGCTGAGGCAGGACCAGGTTTCCCCAGCCCTCTGCATCAAGGCTGAGCAAAGCATCCTACTGTAGGGAATTGATTCCAAAGAGCCACTGCTCATGCATCAGGGACAGATCCTGGTCCCACTGCGGGGGGCGGGGGGACCCTTCTAACTGAATAAGTGGAGAGAGGAGAGGGGTACGGCATGTAGATGGGTCCAAGACTTGGGAGCATTATCGAGTCAATTTCTCTACATTAATGAGCTGACGTTATATGTTTCTTATCAAAATCTGCAGAAACCCTTCAGTAGAAGCTGACACATGGACTCTAAAATGAATATGGAAAGCCCAAAGACCTAAATAAAGCCTGAAGCTTTGCTCCGTGGTTAGGGGGCTAATGTTGCTGCGTTTGAAAAGGCACTATAAAACCTTTCACCCAGACAGTGGGATATGACAGCCAAGACAGGGATGGAGAAGAATGAGGAGTCCACCAGCAACGGACTTGGAATGTTTACTTCATCGATGCTGACAAAGGGCCAGGGCGACTCACAGGGGAGTGAAACTTCTCCCAAGAAATGACAGTGGAGCCATCAGGATGGCCGTGGGACCCATTAAAGAGAATAGACATACACTGCGTGATAATTATATGAGATGAGAGAGACATGAATACAAAACCTGAAATGCAGAGACTAAAAATAAGCATTAGGAGCACCCCACCATGTCACTGCCCCCAGCTTGTCTTTCGGACAGACTGACCACAGAAGGGAAAACAGGGCAAATTAGACTTCATTAAAATTTAAAGCAATCAACAAGAAGATGCAATTAAAAAGTAAAAGGAAACCACAGATTGGGGGGAATGTTCCCAATACACACATCTGACAAAGACCCCCAGCTCTTTACATCAATAAGACCACAAATAGCCCAATCTGAAACTCACTGAGACTTCAGAAAGCAAGCCATCAACTAAGCAATAAACGCTCAAAGAAGAAAAAGAGGGCATCATCACCATTAGCCATCACGAAAGCGGCAACTATCACGTCACTGAGATGTCACACGCATGCATGCTCCAAATTAAAAACACTGACACCAAATGTTGGTGGGACGTGTAGGAACTGAGGGTCTCTCGGGGTCCCCTCACAGCAGACCCTGTGCTGAGACCTCTATCCCATCCTAGACACACATCCAGGAGAAATTAAAGCAGAAGTTCATGTAACAGCCGAGGAAAGAAGGAACACAGGATCTTCCCAAAGGTCCCAGCCTGACTTTTAAAATTGCTTACCTATGAGTTGAAATTTAAAAAAAGCACAGATAAAGTGAAAAAGTACTATATATACTGTATGCAATTATATAGAGTTGTATGTATATATCACAGAGAGGGAAGAATGGATATAGAGATATATATCTCAATACTGACTCTCAAAACCACTGTTCTAATCTCAAAAACAACACCTCAGAAATGAAAGAACCTTCTTTACATCGACGTGTAAGAAAGCCTCCAGCAGTGAAAAGTCATGTAGGGTGTTTGGGCTCAGAACAGCAGATGCCTTCATGGGGAGGCCCTTACTGTCAGTGGAGGCCACGCCCCAGAGGTATAGAGTAGCATCCACTGTGGGCAGCAAGGCACAGGCTCAGGCCTTCCAGAGGCCATGCACGCTTACCCAAGTATTCCCTCGAAGCTTTGGAGATGAGACCATCTGCCCGTAGGGCTTCACACTCGTAGTTAAACAAAGCCCATTACTAAGGAAGCCCCCAAACTTCCTTGTCCTGTCTTGGCATTTTTTTTCACAGTGGCCAGCAGCTCACATCTGATGACACAGAATGCCATGAAGGGCAGAGCTGCCCGGTACACAGTCCCC